TATACGAAAAATCCCTCTCACTCTTCAAGGAAACAATTCCAAAAATTTGAGGAGCATTACTAGCTTGTATACAGCACAATTCTGCAATGGCTTCCTACATCGTAGATTTGCTATCCATAACAGTCTAGCTTGCTTGAAATATTTAGAGATCATCGCGAGATCACGACAGTCTCTCCGGAACCTAGTTAACCTAACTACAACTTTTTATGGACCCCCTCTACCCAAATTTCTCCAAAATGGCGTTGACGGTATATCTTTTTTAGACCATTAGCGACAAGCATGTGGGACCGCGCATTTTTGAATATTTTCGAAAAATGCGCCTTAATGCGACCAACTACTTGCACCAAAAATGTTGCATCTTGAAACAGACACTGTGGAGACTTTGCATGTCTCAAACCTGAAATTCGTAAATGGGGTCGGATCCAGGTCTATTTTCGTGAAAAGTTTTATTCCTACACTATCTCTGGAAGCAGGAAGTCAGCTGTATACAATCAGAAATGACGAGCTTTGCGTTGGAAAATCACTTTCAAGTACCCTCTGCATAGGAAAGATATGTATCGTATCATGATTACCATAAGTACGACAATGCTTTCCTGGTCCATATGATATCGCAAAAATTTTGGGAATCCTGCGCAGAGAGAATTATCTCTATGCTGCGTTCCCACATGGAACCGCATTGTCCCACGTAGCAAAAAAGTGCGTCCCCACGTCCAGTCCCAATGTCGCCAACGGGTTAAGACTTTCATAGTCGCTCGTGAGACGTAAGAATCGCACAGCAGACATGTATTGATCGTACAATCTTACAACACCCCGATCGGACCGGAGAATCGACACCCATCTAGTGCTGTGCGATGTTACGATCGCACGACCGATTATGAAATCGCCTTCAGCGCCTCATGTGTCCCGCACACTGGCATCGGCAACAATGGAGCATGAACGAAAAAAGTGGATATTGCGTTCCAACAAATAGAATGATTTCAAATCGAAAACCATGGTTAAACTTCAAAAAATTAGGAAGAGGGCGATATACGATTGAAAAAACTAGAGCCGCCTTTTTCGTACACCAAATTGCCCAGGAGACAGTAAGAATCTTAGTCATTAGAAAATGAGGAATTGACGAAGAACTGTGTAGAAATCCAAATATGGGCTTTTCGATTGTTCGCCGCATAATGAATACAGTATTTACGGTAACCTTTTCAAGCCTTCCCAACTGGAAATGATACTAGCTGTTTCCAAGTAGCCATAGCGATAGTGAAGCTGCTCCCTCGGCAGCGAGAAAAAGCAGCCCTTCGGCATAAATAATGCATCAGTTTCGTAGAATTCTATTTTCCCGGACAACGCGAAGCATTATTGGCCATCTCATTGATAGCGGTGCAATTCTATGTGTGATAATCGCCAAGGATGAGCTACAACACAAGAATGAAAAGAACGATTGACCGACCGGTCAGTTCACGCAATCCCATATTGTGTGATGACGTCACTGGGGAGTTGGCGGAGGAACTCTCGGAGAAAGAGTTTGTATCTTTGTAATGTTAGCCGAAAGGCTTACCGCAAAATTTACCCAGAATACAATGCCGAACAGAGCTTGAAATGAAGGGAGTTAGACAGAAGATCAGACGTATAAAATGATGAGCTGGAAAGAAGAAAACGGAAAATAAAAGTGGAACAAATGATCACAGTGAAAGTGCGCACACTTCATGATTTCCTTCCATCTATTTCCCATTACCTTTTCATGACAATAGGTACTTATTTCGAAGAAGACAGAAAGTGCGAGCAGGCATAGATGTAGAAGTATAATTGGAGAAAGCGAACAAAGAAAAAGAGAGGAGCTGTGAGAGAAAGAGTGACCTTTATAGAAAACCGAGTAGTACGTGTTTAAATGGTATAAGGCGCGAGTCATACTCGGTCATTCGCTGTAACGATCGCGCAGCATTAGATACGTAACGACCGTCCAATCGTTACAAAAGCGCCTGTACAAGCAGAGGCTATGGCAAAAAAATAGATGTAAAAAAAATGAAGTTTTTCAACGAGTACCTCCAGATCCGACAGTGACTATGTTCCCATGAGATACGTAGTGACGATAAGGATAGTCGTTGTTTGCTGAAATCGGTGAGTAATTGAAAGGAAACCTCTCAAACAAATACAATTCAAAAATCACGTATAATTTCAGTACGATTTCCCTACTCGCCTAAGACTTCAAAGGCAAATGTAGCGCTGAAAGAAGATACCTCACGGATTGTGGAAGGTGTGCTCCGATACTTCCACAACTACAAAACCACCCCTTCTACAGGCCAGCAAGATGCAGCCCTCGGCAACATTGCTCTTGTCTGCGGCCGTAAAAACGAATTTTGCAGTGACCAACTTTTAAAATTCCATGAGGAGCGAACAATTGTGTGAATATTTTCTTCCAACGGATATCTTGCATTTCGAAAAAGTTTTTAATTTACTGATGAGTTGAATTGGTTTCCTTCGGAATAATTTGCGTTGCAGCTTCAGGGCCACTTCTCCAATTTGGAACAAAAACTAAGTGATCTCATTTACGCTTCTACCAAACAATAAGCACAAACGATTGGCTGCAATCATTAGAATTACATGTGAGGCGTTCCTAGGCACTTGACTGTGTTCGGCCACTGTGCAAACCAAATGAAGCTGAAATAGAAGCTTATCACACCATCAAATTACAAGCAGGAAACACTGAAGAAATCCTCTCCAAGACCAAAAAGCTTTCTCTCACGCCGTCACTGTAGACCTATACATCAAAAGAATGATTGTACTTTATAAGACGAAAAATATACAATCAGCAGTACTTGCTGCTTTTTTTCATGAACATTATTGTTTTACATAAAATAATTTTGGAGAAACCTATTCGCATTCTCTCTGCAACACTTCTCAACAAGTACAGAAAATAATAGTGATTATGATGAAATCGAATGCAAAAAGAGAAACCGACTATGAACAGAAAAGTAGAGAGAAACATATTGAGCCCCACTCTCCCGCATCCAGTGATTATTATTCACAATTTATGGAACTCTTCTAAGGAAAGCGATTAACTAATCAAGAACAAACACAATTAATTCAATGAAAATGAAAAATGAATTGTCAGAAAGAGGTCAGCTAGAAAAAAGGACATGGAGCACGAAAAGTTCCGGGGGTCAGAGTCCGCAGTCCGTCGGCAGGTTTTCGCTGATTCTAGCGATTTTTGCGCGGATCTTGTGCGATTTTTGCGAAACCTACGAGTGATCAAGGAGTTGGAATGCCCGATACTGGTGAAGTGATAAAGTGACAATGCGAAGTGCTGTTTAATCCTGCTGCTAATTCTGTTGCTTGACAGTGAACATTGAAAGACGACTGTTCGTGATTCTACTTGTTTCATGTTCAATGTCTATCAGTTCATTGAAATGCTCATGATTCGGATCGCAAAAATTGCAAGTGCCCCATTTGAACAATTGAAACACTGAATATCAAACAAGTGGAATCATGAGGGCAGTCGTCATTCAGCCATCACTATCAAGCAGAAGTGGCGGCGGCATTGGAGAACACCTTGCAGTATTGATGGGGCACTTGCGTGGTTACCATGACCCGTCGCGAAATCGCACAAATCGCTCGGAATAAACCGCCTGAAATGGCACCGGCGGAAACCTGCGACGGATCGCGGACTCTGACGACTAGCCTAACGGTTAATAGAACATAGCAAAACAGAAACTTTATGAAATGGAAAAAATAAAACGGTTAATAGAACAAAACAAACCGAAAACTACACGAAAATGGAAAAGATAGTGAGGCATACCTGGTAAAAGGTGAGCAGAGTAGTCAGAAAATGTCAGTGTCCACGTTTTTGCACGGATATTTTTTTTGTGTCAAACATACTTATCTAAAGTAAATTCGAAAGTTTTGAAGGAATCCTGCTTACAAGTCAATGAAATAAACGCAATAACTGGAGAACAGCCACACCAACCCGGTATTCGGTTCGCCCAACAAATATGCCATTGTGGTGTTTTACAGGGCAAACCTTGTCGCTGGATGCTGACATGGTTTCCACCTTAATCAAAAAAAAAAACATGTGTATGTATAATGGATAAATAAGGGTGGTGCAACCCTACCTTGGATCCTGTCAGGGGATCAATCTCCAGCCATATATCCTTCTTACTACCTTAAAAATAAAAGTCAAATTACTCGTGAGAAAAAGAGACGCAAGCTCGAAGAGTAGAAATAGTAGTCATCAGAGATAAGCTAAGTCTCCAATCAAAAAATTCTGATCCGCGGGACCTCCTAGAAACGAAGTTGAAAACATGAAAAATCAACACACCAGCATACAAGACTCCATCAGTGCTTTTTAGTGGTGAAGCATGGACCAGAGCCGGTATATTCAATGGCAGTCTTTTAAGGATGCCTTCTTTTAATGTGTAGAGCGATCCATCTTGCGGATTCGGAAGAAATGTAAATCCCTGTTTGACAGTTGTAGGAGCTCGGAGTACAGGATCTGCAATATTATGACACCGTGAAAGAGGGAACGCAACAGGATGATACCTATGGAACTCGAAAATTTTTGCTGTGCATTAGTAAAGATGCCCATCTCAGCTCAGCAGGTCCGACCTCCCCACCCTCGCGACGCCGCGCGAACTGATGTAAGACTCATGTCAGAGTCCGCGATCCGTCGCAGGTTTCGCTGATTTTCGCGATTTGCGCGATTCACGCGACGGGTCACGGAAATCACAAGTGCCCGATCAATACTGCAAGGTGTTCTCCAATCCTGCCGCCTTTCTGCTTGATAGTGATGGCTGAATGACGACTGCTCATGATTCCACTTGTTTCATATTCAGTGTTTCAAATGTTCAAATGGGCAATTTTTGTTGATCCGCGCAAATCCTACGACGGAGCGCAGGAATTGAAAATGCCCCGATCTACCCCCCTTACCTTTTCCACATTATAGGGCGCCGCCGCGGCGAGCACGGCGAGCCAGTAAGTGCCTGCGAATAGTGCTGAAAATTTGAAAACGCTCCAGCACAGTTCAACAGGAACGAATCATGAGCATTTCAGTGAACTGATAGACATTGAACATGAAACAAGTAGAATCACGAACAGTCGTCTTTCAATCTTCACTGTCAAGCAGAATTCGCAGCAGGATTAAACAGCACCTCGCAGTATCATCGGGCACTTCCAACTCTTGCGATCCATCGCAGGTTTCGCGTAAATGCGAAAATCGTGCAAGTCGCAGAAATCGCGAAAGTCGCAAAAACCGCGCTCCAAAGCGCCCGAACGGATCGCCGCAGATCAGTTCAGGACCTGGCGGACGGGATCCGCGGAATAAACACCAGTGCCCAAGAAGTATCAGCGGTCACAATCAAACTGTTGCTCGTAATTGAAAATGAATTTATAAATCAATAGCTATCTTATGGAAAGGAATAAATAAGCTAGGCCTCGTTGAATAAAGACAATGCATCTAGTCCTGATTGTTTCTGAGCGTCATTCGGATTTGTTGGACATGCATTTTTACCGTTGTAGTGGAGAGGACAAGTACTTTTCCAAAATATTTTAGGCTCCCCCACTTTCTTCACGATTTGGGGCGCGGCCGCGGCGAGCGCGGACGAGTCGATAGTGCCCGCGAACTGTGGTGGTGATGCGTTTTCAAATTTACCCACACAGTTCGCGGGCACTATCGACTCGGCCGGGTTTGCCGCGGCCGCGCCCCAAATCGTGAAGAAAGTGGGGGAGCCCAAATATTTGCATGCCCAATGCTTTCGAGATTTGGGGCCTTTTCTCTCTTTTTTCCTCAGATCATAAATACAATAACAAAAGACATCCTGGGACCAATCCGCCCAATTACCCAATTTTCAACAGTTCAACAGTTGCTTCGGCAAATTCGATTTTCAGTTTACAATGTTCCATGCGGCATTTAACTCTTTGATTAGTGATTGAATGTTTGAGTCTGTACTTGCCAAGAGCCTGAGAAAGGGCTTGTAAGCCCAAGTATGTCTTTCAATAGACTCCATTTTGGAAGAGGCATCTTCTGTACCACGCTAAGCAAAGAATATCGGCAAGACTCAACTACAGTATATATACGATGCAAGGGGGCAAAATGAGGTAAAGTGCCGTAAAATATTCTGACCTCCCCTGCCAAAGTCCTATCTCACGAATCTCCCGTTCCCGTAAATTCAAGGCCTAAGTTGGCCGTCAATGGTACTAACCATAACGGTGCCGAGAGATGATCCGATACGAGGTACTACGTCCTGTAACAAGTCCATGTGCAGGAAGAAGTATTTCGTTACTAGTTCATTCGAATACCTCTTCAACAAAACTTTCTAGAAAACTTACCAGAGGAGAAAAAATGTTACAAACTCACATCGACATCTTCTGAAGTAACAATGGGACAGACTAGAAGAAGAACTGCAATTAGTATCAGCATGACTCTTGTAGAGCCTGCAGTTTGTTGAGGACCAACAAATCTGTGATAGTTGGTTTGGTTGGAATTTCTGAAATATCGATTGTAGAGTTAATTCCGGGATACCAGTGTCTATGAGGCCTAATTCGACCCCAGCTCTATCCGATGCCAAAATGGCGGCTATCATTAATAGAGCAGCACAAAGTACAGGTGGAAACTGTGTTCCCTTGCGGGTATTTGGGACAAGCAGTATACAGCGCAATTCGGTTTTAACGATTACCGATCCAGCAAAAACTTGGAAAGAAGAGGTACCGAACAAGTTCTTCAAACCGCTTATGATATTTCTTCATCATTAGCAAACCGACATGCAGAGTTTCTTTTTCTTAGGATTTCGTGGTGACCTTTTCATTTTGCATAGTTCACGTTGGCAAACACCTACTAATTTCTTTAGGGTTAGACTAGAATATCGAGCTAATATAAGCAAAATGAGAGAGCGCGGGCGCGAATTGGAATACTTGCTGGGGACGTCGGAGAACCAGTTGTGTGCGTAAACTTCACAAGCAAAGGTCACGCAGTTGACCCCGATCCTCCACCGGCCACATTTTGACCATCATTCCCGCTGATTGCAGAGAAATTGACTTAGCTCGATATATATTGGAAGCATTTTATCCACATAGATTCTATCAAGTACACGTCACTTCCGGTGACACGCCTACCCCAACTTACGGATCTCGAGTATACCTACTTTCAAGCAGCATCTAACCGAGCTGTGTGCGTTTCTCACAAAGTATGGACGCACCCCCGTGTGGATGTCTAACGTACTGTATATATACGCTCAGTCTTGAAACAAAATGGCAGGTAGAAGTCAGAAATGGAGAACTGTCGCGTTGTGGGAAGCTGACAGAACATGTGCTTTCCATGGAGTGCTAACATAGGTTGGGGGGACCACGCAGCGAGCGCACGGCGCTTTGGCCGCCGGGCAGCCGGGTGCAGCAAGCCCCAACGAGGGGATGGGTCCCCAAAGTTCTGTGTCTCCACTCTGTCGATGACGCAACTCTCGTGGTTAAGAATAGGGGAAGAGTCCAGAGATGCAGAGTTTAGGGGACCCATCCCCTCGTTGGGGCTTGCTGCACCCGGCCCCTGCGCGTCATTGTAGGGACTGTAGGCAGTACTAGGGGGGGGGGGTGAGGGCAGTCACTTGACATGCGTGAAAAGCTGGAATGTTCGAGTTCACACTATCTCGCTCGAGAGAGCGCCAGGCGAGCAAAGCGCCGCGCCGCCGCGTGGTCCCCCCAACTAAGTTAGCACCTGTTTCAGAGCGAAAGTTTGTGAACAGGTCCTGAGCATGAATTTCTTGCGCTAGCTTACATTACTTGTACAAGCATTGATCTTTCGAGCTAGCAACAAGGAGAATCTAAGGAAATCCGGCAGTATGCCCAGATTTGGTTTGAATGTGAATAATTCATGGTGCTGTGGCGCGAAAACGAAATGTAATGGTGATAAGTTTGAGTACAGCCAAACGGTGTAGTTTCGTGGAAGTAGCGAGAATGAAACCAATTCTTTAGCTGCCAGTCTTCGCCAGCATGTTAATCGGCGAAAACAAGAAGAAAAAAGGGTTCCAGTCACCCGTAGGGGACTCAAACACTGAACTAGAAATATAGGAACTCCCTTTAACGACCCATTATTGGTCCAAAATGAATTTGCATCATTCAGCAGGAGTAAAAAATTATTTCAAGAGCGATCCTAGAGTGATGAGAAGGGAAAGTCGATCGCATGTGGATATTAAATTAATACTATTAAAATTATTAAAAATTAATAACATAACGCTCAGCCAAACAATTGGCCTCCATAGCTTGCAGTTTGAAAAAAACAGCAATGCGACGTCGGAATAATTTGAAAGTAGACTACGGACGCAATATTGCACACATTTGGAAGATTTGAAAACGTCGCAGCTTGTTACTATATGTATAAATTCGGAGTGGATAGGCGCATTCCTTGGCCATGATACGTCCCTTCAGAAAGCTTGTTTGGTTCTGTCGTCGGTTCTTCGGCCAATGCAAAGAAGGGGAACAATCACCTGGTGTGACTGGGAAGTGGGGGGGATGTCACCGCGGCGCGAGCTCTGCGTTTTCTGATGCAAGCGTAATAGGCCTTCGATGCGCCTACATCGGGGGACTAAGACGCGCAGGACCTGGGCAGGGGAAGAGGAGCTCCATTTCAGATAGCTAATTTTTATCGTTTGAAATTCCCTGTCGCGGCTCGAGCTTAGTACTACAGACATGGAACGAGCAGCAAACCATCGCGCCCGCGGGTCGCGACTGCGCCCTCCCCCGCGAGACCGGGGGCCACAGGTTGGCGCAGAAAGTACATTTTTGAACACTTATGCAGTCTGCGTTGGGGCAAATCAGCTAGCCAGCTCGCAGTAAACAGGCTTCGAAGCCCTTCCTTTACTTTTTTCACGAGCTTAATAGTCATATCGCCGACTCAAGATTTGATGATATACGAAGTTATACGATACCTATACATATATGTGAGGGAGCACTTCTAATTATGGAAACCTTGTGATGCACCTGAAGAATTCCTACCTAACACTAGGCGCTCGTGAACTAAGAGGGTGGAGGTTGTGCATATCATAGTTCCCACATTTTTCCCTTGGACGAGCCTTCGGGGTGGGCCGATCGGGTTGTGCTAAAAGGGACTTAGATGAGTAATATATTTTTGATAATTTTACGATGTCAACCTAGTTGGACGGGGGGGGGGACCACACAGCAACGCAGACTAGGCCTTGGAGGCACAAACGAACAGAGCGTTGCCCCTCCCGCCCTTCCTCGACAAAGTTAGCACAATTTTTACTACTAATGTTTGTATCGGTTCTGAATGCCGGCTCAATGTGGATCAGGGGGGAGGCAGTCCACATGATTGTGGAAACTCAAACATTTCAACTTATCGCGCATGCCAAGTGACTGCTCACATGGTCAGTCCCAACCCCATTAAACTGGCTACACTCCCCCTGGCGGATTCCCCGCTCCACACTGACCATGAGGTAAGTGAAAATGCCACGCACTGCGGCGACGACTGCCCCCCCCCCCCGAGCCCCACTGCGCCGAATGCCTCAGCATCTGTATTAACATTGAAGTGCCCACTTCCCCAAGCGCCCAGGACCCTACAAATCTGGCCTTATAATACTTCGCATT